CAGTATAACGAAGTTCTTTCGAAAGATTTATTAATTCACATTACGAATACATGTACGTACACGAATGTACATATGTAGGTACCTTTTAATTCTTATAATTTTTATATTAATAAATAAAAATTAACCAACACTTAATAATTCGAAGTTTTATTTATTTTCTCTCGCAAATTTCGAACCATTTGATATTTCAAACACTCGATAATTCGAAATATTTCAAGTGCACGATAAAATTCGAGCGTTTATGAAAAAGCTTATGTTGTGGCAGACATTTATTGAAAAAGGCAAGTACAGGGTTGCCCATATTCGACGGACCCATGTTTTTTTTTTAAAAATCAAAGAAAAAAATAAAAATTTGACGGTTGGCAATCTTAATCATTTAATTTGTTCCAAGTAGATTTGTTTACATCAATTTTTGAATATGAAATCTTTCAAATGGCCGCCTCTGCCGTTGATGGCGTATTGTGCCCTTTTTGCAGCATTTTCCATCGTTTTCGCCAACATTTCGGCCGGAATAGCGGCTATTTCTTCACGAATGTTGTCCTTGAGCTCTTCTAGGGTCCTTGGCTTGTTAACGTAAACTTTTGACTTCAAATATCCCCACAAGAAGAAGTCAGGCGGCGTCAAATCGGGCGAACGCGGTGGCCAGTCCAAATCACCACTTTTCGACATCAAACGGCCCGGAAACAATTTCTTCAGAAAATCGATTGTTATGCGACTTGTGTGCGGTGGAGCGCCGTCTTGTTGAAACCAGAACTGCCTCTTACGCTTTCGACGAATAATTGGCATCACAAAATTGGTCATCATGTCGCGATAACGCTCCTGGTTGATGGTAACAGCATGGCCATTTTCATTTTGGAAGAAAAACGGAATAAACCGTTGTAAAGTGGACCGAGCCATGCCCAACTGCTGAGAACGGCGTTTTTGGGATGTTCTTGGGGACCTCTCAACACTGGCTCGTACGGCAGCGATATTCTCGTCCGATCGCCTTGGTCGACTTTTATTTGGCCTCTTCGGATTAGAAAGAGCCTCACCAGTCGTAAATTTTTCGTATAAACGCTTAATGGTGTTCTTAGAAGGCGCACTTTTCACATTTTTTAATTTTTTAAAAGCACGTTGAGTTTTCACAATTGACTTGTTCTGTTGAATGTAAATTTCAACTATTTCAGAGCGCTCGCGTGGCGTGTATTGTTCCATGGTAAAAATCTGCTTGGACTAACGCTTCAAACGCGGTATGTCATTAAGCGATCTGGCATCTCTGTCAAAAGTTATGGCGTCGTCAGATGTTTCCGTCGAATATGGGCAACCCTGTACGACTGTTTTGAAACATTTGAAACCTTAATTGTAAAAAACGAAGTACAGCCAGGTGTCAATGTAGTGAAGAGATAGGAAGAGATGAGGAAGTTCGACACGAAGAACTGGATCATGGTACAATTATAAGAGGTAGTCCCGTCGGCTGCAAAATCGTTCGGGTTCTTTCCCCCTATGGTTCAGTGCGCTCGGCATTTCGAAGAGAGAGGTCGTACGCGGACGATTTTTTCTTGTGTGCTTATGAAAAATAATTGTTGCAATTATTGTAACAAGCACATACAATGCGTAACATGTAATATTGCACAAACATTTTTTGAAAGATAAACAATATGGGAGCGAGTGATAAAGGGCAGCTTTGGGTAAAAAACCAAAAATTACGGAACAATTAATACTCATTGTCATATAACAGTCTTTTTAAACCCTATGCACAGTATATGGGTTAAACAACACACTCTGTTTCTGTTTCTTTCGCACTTACGGGAAAACACCCTCTCACTCGCACTCATTGTAGTGCGCAATAGGGGGAAGAAAAAGCCGACGGGACTACCTTGTATAGTTGTACCATGAACTGGATTTGTAACATATTTCAAGACAATATACCAACTGAAACGTCAACAAAAGCAAGTGAAGAGCTTATTGATTTATCAGAAGATACCTCACTGAAAAATATATTTAATCGCAAGCAATTGACAAAATTCTGGCTCTCTGTCAGCAACTGACAGTCCTCCTTCCTTTCACTACCTCATATTTACATATGTGAAGTGGGTTTCTCAGCCTTGGTCAACATAAAAACTAAATACCGAAATATATTGGACATATCGAACTCATTACGATTAAAAGTGACTAAAATCGATGTCGGCGCGAAAGCTGTAATTGAAAAAAATTGAAAACAAATGCAACCCTTTCATTCTAATGTCAAATAATTTTATTAATTAAAAATACAGTAGAATCCTGTTATAACGACTCCGCTTATAGTGTCCGTCCGGGTTGTGCGACGAAAACTCGATGGTTTGGTTGGTCCCCATACAAACTTATATGAAAGGGCCTCCGCTTAGAGCGTTTCCGCTTTTAGCGACAAACCGCTTATACGAACGAAATTTTTCAAGAAAATTGAAAAATTTAACCGGATATTGCGTCGTGCAGAATAAAAATACATTGCAATAGGGCCAAATGTAAGCACCAAAACACGCTGTTAGAAATTTATGTATTTATCAGTGATCGGCACCCTTGCTTGTGTGCGTAACAGCGACACGAAGGATCTTTATCACTGTTAGTTTTAGCTGTCGCCGTAACTACGCTGCTGCGAGAGAGAGAGGGAGTCGAAGTGCAATGCCGACGTCACACTGCGTGTGCAGACCTCATAGCCTATGCTTTTTTTCGAGTAAAACTAAAATCGTAAATTCGGCAAAATATGCAATAATAAGCTCACTTAGTTTTTAGTATTATGAGAAACCCATGCTTTTGAATTAAATTTATTAAATTTTTGGGGAGATTTTAGTTTCCGGGGCGCCAAGATTTGAGGACATATTTTGGGTAATTGGCCCAAAATAAACACTTTTTAATAAATAAAATTTTTCGATTTCTCGCACCGTTTACGCGATATCGAGCCCTAAATTTCGGATTATAGTGAGGGCTGGTAGCAGGCGAAATTACTTATTGCACATATTTTTCGTGGAACTTTCAAGATTTGCGGTACTTTCGGTCGAAGACGAACACTTAAATTTATTTGTTCAGTTTTTAGCTTAGTTTTTTTTTATAACAATTGCCTCAAAAAATAATATAGCATATGTATCAATGCATAAGTGCGCGCGCACTATATTATGCTATGTTATTTTTTTGAGATAATTTTTATAAAATTAAAATTTTGGCCAATTTTCAGTTTTTAGCTTAGTTTTTTTATAACAAATAACCTCAAAAAATAATATAGCATATGATACATATGCTATATTACGCGCGCACTTATGCATTGATACATATGCTATATTTATTTTTGAGATAATTTCTTAAAAAAATTTTTTTTCCCAGTGTAACGGCCGCACTACAAGCCGATATTTAAGGCTCGATATCTCGTAAACGGTGCGAGATATCAAAAAATGTTGTTTACTAAAAAGTGTTTATTTTGGGCCAATTACCCAAAATATGTCCTCAAATCTTGGCGCCCCGGAAACTAAAATCGTGCCAAATTTTTCATTTTAATTGAAAAACGTCTTCCGGGTATAACGACGAAAAATCGTCGGTCCCTTGAAAGTCGCTATAACCGGATTCTACTGTATATAATAAAAGTTGTTCTTCTTTATTTATTGAAGATACATAAATACATAATACATAAATACTGTTGCAGCAAGCTGCTTTTTTATCTTCATGACACAAGGTGGGTCGCGATCTTAAAACATTCGTGTAGATGGGTCGCGGTCCCGAAAAGTTTGGGAAACACTGTTCTAGATCATAAACCAGGATAAGAAAATCAGGAAATGTCGGTGAAATTTAAAATTTACAAAAATATGCTTTTCACACGACACCATCGATGCAAAATGATTGAGAATTGTGCAAAATGTGATATCCGACTTCCAAAGAGTAGCATTCAAAAATAGATCTGGGCAAAATTGTTTAAATAGCATGTTGTTTAAATAGCTTAATAAAAAAAAAACTTTGGTCCGATTTACGTTGGCGATGCCAACAATATAAGCTGTACGGGGATGTTGATGTAGTCAGTCGAGTTAAAATTCACAGACTCCGCTGGCTGGGTCACATCGCCCGTATGGAAGAAGACACTCCGGCCCGTAAGGTGTTTGATGCGGTAATTGTCGGGAAACGGAGGAGAGGACGACCCCGGATGCGTTGGCAAGACCAGGTGATGGAAGCCCTGTCTACATCCGGTGCTGGAGGCGAATCGTGCAACAGGCTGTGACCCGTCAAGGGTTGTGATGGCCAATTATTATTAGCATATATATTAATTTGCCTTATTATTGTCACAATTGAATGGTATCGAGACAACTTAATAGTGAGTTTTCACAGTTTACCACCTAAATCTACTTGCTTTATTGTCAATAAAGAAAGGGATTTCCAGTTGGTTTTAACTTATTTGCTTACCGTAAACATTAAAACGGTCAGCACGAAAAACATTAGTGCCGCCTTCGATGATTGTACTTAAGACAGCGGTAATACTTCGGAATTTTGACTTCAGCTATATCTCAGCCCCAAAAAAACTTGGGAACCAAATCAAGGGTTTTTTCATAAGATAATAACCCCCTTAGGAGGGGCAGAAGGTTTTTTACCTTGGAAAATGGAAATTTCCTCGGAAAATCAGCGGAAAACTCTTACATGCACGTCATGCATAGGGGAGATTTGAGGACATATTTTGGGTAATTGGCCCAAAATAAACACTTTTTAATAAATAAAATTTTTCGATTTCTCGCACCGTTTACGAGATATCGAGCCTTAAATTTCCGATAACAGTGAGGGCTGGTAGCGGGCGATGCAATGCATGACGTGCATGTAAGAGTTTTCCGCTGATTTTCCGAGGAAATTTCCATTTTCCAAGGTAAAAAGTTTAAACGATCATTTATTTTCCATTAACTTGATAATATTTTCTTAACATATTTTTTAGTGTTTCTGTAAGAAAGGACAATGTGATAATGTGTGAATAGTGTATAAAATGCCACCTCTTTGTTGTTTCAGGGCTGGCACCTTTAATTTTAAGTCAATTGACGAAAAAGGCGTCGTCGCTTCATCGTAGAAGACTCCCAGTTTTGTGGAAAATTATAAAAGTTAATGCTATTACCTGATAAAATGGGAACATTAACCGATTTTGGACAAATAGCTTTGAAATGGGATCCGAAAAATTTGGAAATTCGTACAATGTCAGTTGAAAAAACCCTGGAGCCCCTGGTGCTGCAAGTTACCACTCTTGTTAATACCAAAGGTCCGAGCAAAAAGAAAAAAGGTAAAGCCTCAATTAATCATTAACGAAACTCTTTGCTCGTAGTATATTGCTCATAATAACTTAATAACGAAAAAGTCCCTTAAAACTGAATGTATACACATTTCAGTAATTACATACCTACGTATGTATATGTAAGTATGCGTTTATTTGAATTTACATACATATGTACCCTGCAGTTCCAAAATAGCTTTTTCCTATATGAAATCCGCGAGGAAGCACCGAGGAACCGGGGTACGGAGGTATGCCCGCACCGAGGAATTGCGCGAGGAATTTTGTATGGGATTCAAGTTTTCTTCATAGGTGCAGCTCTCGATGAACTTTTCGGCCGTTTCATCGAACGATTCCTCGGTGCCTTATACGAATTTTGTGTGGAAAAAATTCGTATAAGGCATAGAGGAATTCGTAGCGGAAGTGGAAGCGGGGTTTTCCTCGAGGGTCGCCCTTAGGGAAATCATATATGCCAATGTTCAAAATTTCATCCCCAAATTCATATGAAAAACAATAAATATATATATATTTTTTTTTATTTTATAAAATATCTTATTTTGTAACATAAGAGATAAGTACATAAATAATATGAAATTAGAAAGTTTTTGTTTACCATTTATGTGGAATATTTGCAGGACAACGGCTGTTTTGCGTCCATCTATGGTACAAAAAATATTTTTATTATTACATATTATATATGTATTACTTTTTTTAATTTAAAGAAAACTTACCTTTCAAACGAATTTATCGTACATACAGGCTGAATCCTAAAAAGATTTAAATAAGTTTGTAGTAAAAAACATAATATTTTTGTAATATTAACGACACTTACATGATTTTTCAACGATTCCGCTGCCCGTTGCGCAATTTAAGTAATTTCACAACTTATTGTCAACGCACAACGCAAAAGAATGAGCAGTTGAATTTTATTTTTCACCCTTTTAGTATACCCTTCTTTTTTGGGTATAACCGACCATAAATAACACGCGAGTCATATTATATCTATATTTGCAATCAATGTTGTGTTATGGTTATGTTGGTTCAATAATTTATATAATGTTGAATATATATAATATATTATATGTATATATAAGTTTATATATATATTATGTTTAATATTTGAAGAACTTTAACATCAAAAGAGTATACATAAGTCGAGCGCCCCTCAGCCGTATTTTCCATCGGTAACCAATTTTTTGTTTCTAACGGAGAATGACAACAGTGCAATAAGAAAAACGAAAGAATAGAAGGCAAATTTGGAGTCGGGCCGCCGTCGGGTGCAAGCAACGAAATCGTATTATAAGAGTGAGGAAGAGAGGGAAACTTAGGAATATCCCTTTCCCTTTCCTACACACATGATTGGCAATTGCCGAAATTCACTTGTGAACAGCCAGAACTGCAGGGTATGTACATGACAACACATACTAGGCCTTTTCCATGGAACATAATAGATGTGGAATTTAACACACCATTCGAAAGCTTTTTTTTAATACATTTTTCCTTGTTACCCGTGGTCGTTGTTCTTTGGTGCATTATTATGTAAAGAAGGCGAAGTTTCCGTTTGTAGATACATACATATGTATGTAGATATACTTGTGCGCAATTTGCAAAATATGGTTGGTTCGCGTTCCTCTTAAAGTTTACAGCAGTCGGGTTACACGAAAACCCGATTAAGGGCATGGAAGAATAAGTACTTATTCTATCATGGAAAATGGGAATCAAAGAATATCGGTAACTCTTTTGGGCGAGTTTCGGTTACGCTTGTTATGGTATTATCGTATGTTCCGAGTAACCCCTGTGTTATTTGTTTTTAAGAGCCTAAAGTCTCTGCAAAAAAAAAAAAAAATATATATATATAAACAGCCTTTTCATTTCATTCATTAAAATTAATTAAGATTTAGTTCTACATTCGAAAATACAACAATAAAAAAATAAAGGAAGCTAGCTTCGGCGAGCTGAAGCTTATACACCATTGCAGTCATCTTAAAATGCATAAAGGTTTTATAAGTTATCTTATATTTTTGTATATTTTCACCGATTGTTCCTATGACAACTATATTTAATAGGCGCCCCATTTTCATGAAAGTCGGCACTCGTTAGATAACATTATTTCCAAAAAATCATGATTGTATGATCACGATTGTAAGAAAACTAAAAAACCTTATATACAGTGTATCACATTAATATTCGGTTTTTTTTTTGCAACTTTAAACGCGAATAAAATGTATAATACTAAAAAAATCGAAATTTGAAAAATGGTATATTAAAGTTTGTAATATTACTTACCTTTAGGAAGATATATATATGTTAGGACTTTATTAAAAATTAAAAAAAAGAATCACGGCTAAAAGAAAAAAAAGCTTGAAAATGGCATTACTTTAATATTCGGTATTTATTGTAATTCTGGTATTCATTTCCTACGATCAAACAAAAAAAAAGTTACTACCAGCAGCGATTTTCAAGATGGACCGCAAAGTTAAAAGTGCATCCTTGGAGCAGTGAAATCACTTAGAGGGCAAAACCTACAAGGAAACTGCGGAAATGCTTGAAATGAAGCCCAATACAGTCGGTGACATCGTCCGACTCTTCAAAAATAAAGGACGAGTGACTTCAATTAAGCAAAAAGGATATCCAAAAAAAATTAACGGATCGCGAAGAAGCCGGAATTTCGAAAAGTGAAAAAAATCCTCGACTTTGTGCTCCCGAACTGTTGGCTGAACTCTTTGCCGATCACGGGAGCAGTTGCGGCGCAAACTTTTTGGCGTACCATAAAAAAAAACATGGGTACAACGGCAGAATCGCTCGAAAAAAACCTTTGCTATCTGGCCGCAACCGAAAGTTGAGGAAAAACTGTGCCCAGGAGTACTCCAAAAAGGACCAAAGCTGGTGTCATTTTCCTAGACGAGAGCAAATTTAATCTTTTCCGGAGTGACGGCAAGACCATGGTTTGGCCTAAGTCAAAAGTGAAACACGTTGGGAGAAGTGTGGTGTTTTGGGGCTGCATTTCCACAAAAGGAGTGGGGAACTTGGTGTTTATTGATGGCATCATGAACCAAGATCAGTATTTAACAATTTAAAAAAAAACATTTTAAGCAGTCGGCGGAGAAAATGGGTATTGAAAAAGTATTTAAATTAAATCAGGACAATGACCCAAAGCACAAAGCCCATAAAGACAAGTCCTGGTTGCTTTAAAACTGCCCAATAGTCTTGGAAACGTCGCCCCAAGCACCTGATCTCAATCCCATTGAAAAATTGCGGAGTGAATTTGACCGCCGTGTACACCAAACGCCGATATCTTCTTTAGCGGATTTAAAAAAAACTCTTCCTGAAGTGGGCGAAAGTTGGCGGCAAATACACTAAAAAAAAATTTTAAATATGCCAAAACGTTTAAGCGATACCATTAAATATAATGGTTATCACACTTAATATTAGAATAAATTTAATTTTTAGATAAAATAGTTTTTTCTTAGTTCTAAAGGCAAATACCGAAAATTAAAGTAACGTAAATTTTAAGTTGTTATTCGTTTTTGTTTAATTTTATTTTTAATTTTAAATAAATTTTTTTGTGTTTATCTCTATGAATAGGAAATAAAAAAGGCTTTCAATTTCTATCAAAATTTTTTTTGAAAGTCTTTTTTTAATCTTTTTTTTTTTTTTGATTTGAAATTGAGAAAATGAAAAACCGAATATTAATGTGATTCACTGTATATGTTCCAAAAATGTGGTCCAAAAGTTTCAGATCAAAATTTGCAACACTACAAGAGTTAGGCCTTTCCATGGAGCACATGTCGAGCACCGGTCTTTTGAAGCCATAACTTTAGACGCGTTTTTCTCAAAACTACGTTTTTTGAGCTTACGAAAGTGATTGACTGCGTTGGGATAAACCAATCATTATAAATTTGTTTTTCAAATTGTTCCTAAATGTTTTTCTTTCTAATAAATAAACTACGTTCAGCCAAAAATATTGAATTAATTTCAAAATTTTTTTCCTAAACAAATGTGTGTTCATATGCAGAAAAAATTTCAGCCCTGTATCTTTAACCGTTTTATCAAAAAATTTCTAAAAAAAAGTGTTTTTTTCGGGTCCAAAAGGTGAGAACCTGCCTGTAGATTCTATATTTTCGACGATTGTTCCTATGACAGTTATACGACTATATCGTCCGATTTTAATGCAATTTAATTCGAAATTTAAGATTTTTAAGAAATTTCTATGTTCCAATGTCTTATGAAAAACAACGATATTATAATTTTATTTCCGTTATTACTTGGTGCTATGTTCCGGCTATATAGCGGATCCGATTTAACCTCCCATCCGAGCTCCTGTTTGACGACACATCAACGAAGCGTGAGTTGTGGTGTTGTCCTGGTAAAACGCCCCTGCAGTTCCAAAATTGCTTTGTCGTCGATGAAGTGTGCGAAGCCGCACCGACGACAGTGGGGGTAGCAGCCGTAGCCGCGGCGGCGCGAGTTCATAGAGACATTTTATATGGCACCGCCGTTTTCGGGATACATGTCGCTCTCGATGAACTTTTTGTCCGTTTCATCGAACGAGTCGTCGGTGGCTTATACGAATTTTGTATGGAGAAAATTCGTATAAGCCATCGTTGCTTTCGTAGCTGACGTGGAGGCGAAGTTTTCATCAATGGCTTTGGCGAGGATGTCCTTAGCGAAATCATCTATGTCAAGCCTAAAAATTTCATCCCCAAATTCATATGAAAAACAATATATATATATTTAATTCTTTTTTATTTTATTAATATATCTTATTTTGTAATATAAGAAATAAGTACATAAATAATATGAAATTCGAAAGTTTTTGTTTACCACTTCTGTGGAGTATTTGCAGGACATCGGCTGTTTTGCGTCCATCTATGGTACAAATATTTTTATTATTACATGTTATATATTACTTTTTTTAATTTAATGCAAACTTACCTTTCAAACGAATTTATGGGACATATGTATGGCTGAATCCTAAAAAGATTTAAATAAGTTTGTAGTAAAAAACATAA